AAAGATGCTTGATTGGGTTCCTCCTGGGAGGAGACGTAGGGGACGCCCAGTGAGAGGTTGGCGACAGGGGGTGTTAAATGAGATAAGAGATTGTCAACTCCCTGATGACCTGTGGGAAGACCGAGCTTTGTGGCGATTAGGCGTCGCACAGCGCCAAAGAGCGCTATAAAAGCGACTCATATGTATGTATAAAAAATTAAAGCCACGAGACGCATCCAAGCACCATTATTTCCAAGAGAACCGAGCCAGTGCTGCGGGTTACGCGAGCTTAATTCGTTGGTCTGCAAATCCATCCCCAATCAGACAAGAACCTGAAAAAACAAGGAAGAACGAGTATCAAAACAGCCGAAGACAGGAAAGTATTCGGGCCTCTTTTTTAACTTTTCTCCCGAAACTGAGCGACGCGACACCTCATTGACAGCATATATAGAAGTGCATTGAGAGCTCACGCTTTGCATCATAGCGCCTTCAATTTTTCAGATGCAGCACGGACGTCCATCATGGACAAATAGTTGTATCTCTGCGCCGTCGTTGACGCGCTTCCTCTCCCTCGCTTTATTTCCATTGTGTTCCTTTACTCGTAATGGTGCTTCAAACTAGTACCTTAGAGCAGAGCATTGCGAGTTCACGACTCACGCCATCGCGTCTTACATTTTTCATATGCAATGTGAACATCCATCTTGCGCGAATAGTTGTATCGCGTTTACACTTTATATGTCTCTTATTTTTTAATTTCGAGATAAATTAAGGTTAAGTTTTCCCGAGGTATGCAATGGTATGTCCAAATCAACAGTAATTTTGAAAAGGAAGAAATATGTGTAAAGGTCTCTCAAGAGGTCTATAATAGGTGCGCACGTCTAAAAATCGGACCGACCATCGCTTCTAAGGGAGTTACACATAGCGAATGAGGGAGGGGGATGATAAAGCGCATATATATCAACAAAAAGGTGAAAATTTCAAAGAAAAATGTTTACGTTTTAGAAGTAAGTCGTGCTTGAACCTCTGTTCACTACTAAAATGCGTAAAAGCACCTTTCTTTACTCTAACTCTCTCTTTTAGCGGTTATTCAAGAAATTTTCTGCAGATACTCTCGGTCGTATTTTTTTTTCTATTCTTATTTTGCTATCTGTCAGAGGGGCGCGTTTTCGGCGCGCCAAGAGGGCGTAACTGCCAATGGCAGATTGGCCTAACGACCAGTCCGAGCCTGATCTTTCCCCAAATTAAGTTGTTATTTTATCATGTGCTTTGACTAATTATGTTGTTTTTCATTCAACTTCAAATTTAGCGGACGAAATTGAAAAGTAATTACGAGATAGACTGATTACCCGTTCAATTGCACGCATTTTCAACACCGGTCTAAAATTTTATAAAAATAACTCGAGTACCCATTGTCAGTTTTTGAGGAGTGATTCATCTGCTCCTCAGATAGTAAGACAGGAGACCCCTTAAATTTCTGGGAAAACATAGCTTGGGAGATATGAGGAGAATGTAACTAGCGATGACACTTTTAGGATGTCTGCGGTTGAAGTATGGGCACGTGAAATTTACATACTTTTCTTCTTCTTATTCTTGCTCTTTTAGTCATTTAGAGGAGATCGAGTGGAAATCTGTCGGCGGGTGTTATTTAACAAAGGGACTAAGTATTCCTTAACTTCGACCTGAGTAAAGCACTTCAGCAGTTGCATCAGCCAGGAAGAGAGGGGGGAGGACAAAGGGATCCAGCTGCCTCTCTAAAATTCAAACAGTAGCGTGGCGTGCTTTGCGATGGATCGATTCATCTGCCATTTAAACCTATGGAAAAGGATCGATAAATAGGGTGTTCACAGCGATCGCCTCAATGATCGATTCTTTACCATAGCTTCAAGTGGAGAATTATCGATTATCTACTCGCGCCTCGCCACTGAATTCCAAGGCTGTCAAAATAGATGATAAGACTGAGGTAAGTAGCGGGTTTGATTGGCGAATGAAGGGAGTCTGAAATCAGGACAAACAGACGAAACTTTTGCACACGCCAATGATCTTTTTCAATAACGGGTCTGGTGGAAAATCGTGAAAAGTTGGAATTTTCAGTGAGCAGATCATTGACCGTGGGATGTAATTTTCATTAATTAGAAGCACAGCAAAGCTGAGCGTGGATCTTACGACACCATGGCAGGCTATTCGGCGGTGGTGAGTCTTTGACTTTTGGGATATTTTTATTTCAATTATTTACTTCATTTGATTATTTTTTTCTTTAAAAAAAATTGAAGTCTCCAGCACGTGTTACTTACATAAGTTACTTACTTTCGAAAAATAATACTATCTTCTTTGAGAGAATATTCTGGTACCTATGGCAATTAAGTTGAGATAAAATGGTTGAAACTGAAGCAATTTTCATAATACTGGGACACATACTTTTTAAGTATGGGAGTTGTAAAAATAGAGAGATGTTGCAAAACTTATTTTTCACCAACAAACAGGGCTTTATAGTCGTTTTATTTCTATAAGCAGCCTTTGTACGAAAACAAGATTTCCACATTTTCATTGAATTTTATACGAATGAATCTACATTATGTATCGACGAAAATAATGCAATTACCTATGGGACACACCCACTTACCTATATATAAACGGCTAATTATAAATTAATATCAATGTAACATCATTTTGATAAATCATTCAGATACAATGAGGTTTTCCTGTAAAAGGTATTAGTATTTTCATTTCCAGAAATACTCACAGGAAATAACATACATTATGTTTCACCTATGAGCTTTGTGAACTACTTTGGTCTCCAATCATTGAACGTCAATTATCTTATTACCATCCATTTGTAAGATTTTAAATCGATTCGTAAGATTGACTGCCCAGAATACTATAACGTTGCAATAGTACTAGCTTACTTTAAAATTTATTGTTTCTTCGGTCTTTTAATTTCAAATGAGACCGTAACCTCAGGTTGAGCCTATGAGATGATTGAATCATTGCAATAACAACTCATCCATTTTTTCCTATGTTTCAAGGAGTTTGTCCTGGTAGACGAGAGAGTTGTCGCCGGTATTGCCTTTTTATTGCTTGCATTGGCACCCCGTTCCTCAGGCTCGGATAGCATCGACGAACTTTTAAAAAAGCACCCCACTTGGTCGGTGAGTTTAGATGCAGCTGATATATTGATTTTTTACTCTAAATAGTGAGTAGTAAATCCTGAAAGGACTGAAAGTATCTGAGGTCATAAAGTAAACAGAGGAATTCTGCGCATGACAGTAATTAAAATATTACAGTATTCGATGCAGCAAAAGTAGTAAGTACGATATAAGGAATTTACCAATAGACAAGGTACGAAGTTAAACATTCTGATATATTGACGGCGTAAGTCCGCAATCACATATCTCGTTTGCGGTGTATGAAAATCTCCGCCTCCATGTTAATTTTTAAAGGAGAACAAATTGACATCATTCCTTGAAGTCTATGCAGCATATTCTTCGCACAGAGAGGAAAAATCACGGCAGTTTTAAAGAATTGCCGTCGAATAGTTATTTGTTTAAAAAATAAAGTATGACAGGAAGTCTGTGACGTCTCAAACCGAGTTATGTGATTGCCGACTTACACCGTCGATTTGTTTCCCGATCAGAATTTCACGAAAAACACGATTCTCGCATCAAAAATTACTGAAATCAATTCCTAAGTCAGCTATTACCGTTTTAGCGGCTCTGGTGCTTGCACTAGAGCTGCTATTCCGGACGGTCCCAGCTGGGGAGTATCAATGCAGCATGTTACATTGTAGAGACCGCGCGTTGGTTGATGGGAATCGGCGCCATTTTCGGCTATGTTCCTTGTCATGACTTTATTTTATTTTATTGCATACTGTTTTATTGTTAGTCAATGCTATGTTGTGTATTGTATTTTTGGAATCATGGTGATACAGTCAACAATTCAAAACTTGTTTGTGCTTTTATCTCGTGATGGAAAAAATGTACTTTACGTTCAAAATTTGAAAATTTGAATTTTAAAGTTTTCGCGGTTAAGGAAGCTTTAACCACTGGGTTGGAGCTTCCTAGTCATATTACTTGATATCAGCTGATAGCAAACAAAGGTTACCAGGGAAACCGTAAACGTCTAACAACTATCGTGGCCATTGGGGCGATTATTGAAATGATATCGACTGTATGTCGCCGCTTACGATAGGACATAGCCCTATCTTAACTGTGTAATATATCGCAATTCGATATTGTTTTGATTTTTAAAAGGAGCAATTCATTCATACAGTTCCTAACCAGAGATTTTTTAGGAAGCGGACCTCCAAAGAGCTTTCAAAATTAAAAGTATACAACAAGTGATAATGCCATGTATTCGCCATATCAAAGCCCAATACACATTTATACATCGGCTACGTAAATCTGCTAAGTTACAAAACATGAATCGACAGTTGTCGGATTGTACATCAATGACAAAATGTGTCTAGGCCCTCATTCTTGACTACAACTACTGCCCCCAGAGCCGCTCTCCGACGCGAATGCGTTGGAGCTTCCTGCTTGTTTATTTTACACTGGTGACGGGAAATTTGAATTGCCCGGTCACAAGAAAAGCAGTACTCTACGTGCGTCAAATCGCGCACTACAAAGGTTTTGGCAGGCTTCACAATCAAACATTGTTCATTTCCCACCCTTAATTGTTCAAAGTGTAAACAATTTGCCATAGCTGAGCCGGAGCGTCAAGATTGAGATTGCCATATTTTTCCATCGTAGAGACCGCCATGGTAACGTTATTGCGATCTGATGTAAGTAGACCATTGTGTTTTCATGAGCGGAAGGTTTGAATTCACGCGACAAGAAACATTATATGTCTTGGCTAGGAGTCAATTTCAGTAATTTTCGTTGCACAAATCGTGTCTCTCATTGAATTTGGTTAAGAAACAAGAATTAGAATGCTTAAGTTCGTACCTTGTTTAGTGGTCCATTTCGCACAGGCATCGGTCGTTGGTAAAACCCTCAGGACTGAGATATTTATAAATGGGATTTGTGCAGGTAATTCCTCTTCGTATGGATTGTCGTTCCAGTGTGAAAAATACGCAAAATATTTGAGGATGTATTCAGGCAAATCGTCGCTCCTCTGACTTAAGGGCGTATCTCAATTTCTAGGTGAGCCCTGTTTTACATATAGATCCATGCCTTCTGGGGCTCTTGCGATAATCGAGATACGCCCTTAAGTCAGCGGAGCGACGAAATTAGGAGAAAGCCGCCTACCAGTCAGCGGCGCGACAGGCAACTATTCGGCCTCTACAGTAACCCCAGGTTGTATCGGCCGATATTGAAGGCGATATCGGAGGTTGTCATACGCATCCTAATGTAGACAATAAATTCTGATTCCTCATTTAAGAGTTGATTCTGTAGATTTGCAGTGTAGGTTACACGCTGCGCATGGAATGCTGGCGAAATACCATGCAGTGTACTGTTTTAATGTTTAGGTACATACATAAGGGTCGCTTTTATAGCGCTCTCTGGCGCTCTGCGACGCCTAATCGCCACAAAGCTCGGTCCTCCCACACCCCTCAGAAAGTTGGCACTCCCTCATTTAAAACCCCAATCACCACCCTTTCACTGGGCGCCCCCTTCGTCTCCTCCCAGGAAGAACCAGATCAAGCATCAATTTTGTCATGGGAACGGAGTTCCCCATGATATTACAATCGTTCCGTTGCTATCGCTATGGGATTCCCTATGCCTCTGTGACCTTGAGCGTTTCGCCCAGTCTTCGATTTTTGGTTGATTTTCCTATGTATCAAAAACCGTTGTATTTTTTAGCCAATCATGTCTCTACGTCAAGTTGTGTTGATTTCTAAAATTCGCTTTCAGCGAGATTTTTTCCACCTTGAGATGTCGTGTCTGACTGGTAAATCTGCGCAGAACCACGAAGTTCCGTTTTTGGGCAAATTCTTTTTTTTTGGGAGGTTCTGATTGGTTATTTTTCGCCATCAGTTTTCTGTTCTTTGGTGCAAAAGATCGCCTACCTCGGTGCTCTTGAGAAGCCGCCATTATCCCACCTCAAATTTGAAAAATAGAAGTAAAGAAATAATAACCATCGTACAAGGTGGAAAATTGTTCTGGAGGACTCGTTACGGACAAAGAAGTTAAAATCAGAGCTCGATTGATTGATTTAATTCATGGATAAACAAATATCGCCTCAGCTTACTGCCACGATGGCAAATGCATGCTGAGATGAACCCTGAGAGACATGAAAACAGTGCGAACCATGGCTCCTACAGCAATGCGCTTAGCTCATTTCTCTCATATTTCAAAAGCAAAAGCGTCAAGGTCTCTTGTGACAAGTCCCGCCCATTGCCCGAGTCTTTTGTATGCTATTTTTACTCTCTCACACGCCGATTCGTTATAGCCTAGTTGATTAGACCGCCTCATATTTTTGATTAGGTGCCGGCAATAGGCGATCGGGAGTTCGATACCCGACGATGGGTGTTACTTTTTAATGGTTGTATTGAATGTTTTAGACTAATCATCAAAAAATAATTAATACTAGATGATGAATGTACGAACATTTTCTCGTGAGTTAATATGTTAAACAAAAATACTGGAATATACCTCCTTCATATAATCAGCCACATGTTCCCCCAAATTAATGACGTTATTTTCTTTTTTCAATAAAGTTAATTTGCATTCAACGTTCGTAAGTTAAACAAAAAGTACCTATTGATACAAATAGAAAGACATGAAAATAGTATGTCTAACATTTCAGTTGTTTTGGCGCGTATACGTAGTATACCGCCTTTGCGATCGTTTCGAACCCTGCTCGATACAATAACCGAGTCCCTTAGTTCCTTACCGAAAAGTGACTACCGCGAACTTCTGAGATTTTCCAAAGCGTGTAAAAAGTTTATCTATCCATCAATAATTATGATTTAAAGTTGTTTCTCATTCTGGGGGTCTCTAGTTTATGTGCAGTGAATACCAAGAGTCTACGTTACTTGGTTTTTTTGAAAAAAGCCTAAGAATGCGACGCGCTGATTTAAAATATGCATATATAAGCAGAATCAAGCGAACTGATTCGAGCATGGCTGAGCAGGTCGGCACTCTCGGAATGAGAATTTAACTCCTCCGTTTTGTTCAAAACGTTGCTTTGACAGATCTGTAACCTTGGTTATACTTTTCAAAAGTTGGTACTCGTGCTCTGATAGTGCAATCTGTGTAAGTGCAATCTGTGATGAGCCTCGAGACTCATTAGACCATTAGCTAAACGTGGCTCATACAGGAATCCACTTACCCCTCTCTTCCCCACGCTCCTGATCACTGCGTCGGCGTCTCGACGAACAATAGCTAATGACGGTCGCCAAGCGAGGCCGGGATCCTCAGCCCCTAGCCCAATTACTTACGCTTCATTATCCATTTCACCGTCACGCTAGGATTCGTCCAATTTTCAAAAAAAATTGTTTCGCGAGTTTTTAGCAATTTTTTCCTTACTCTCCGTTAAAACACGAATTAAAAGAGGTCTCATTCATAAAAATCGGCCAAATAGAAGAGAAGTTACAGTATTCGAAATCCGAAGAAATCAACAAAACTTCTCCAAACAAAAAATAAAATGAAGGGGGAAAAAAAGAAATGTATAAATTACAATTTAATGCGATTGACCTCAGAATGTGACAAGCAATTCAATTATAAAAAGGAGAAAAAATTGAGTGAAATTACAAAAAATTAGCCTCTTGCAAGGGGCTTCCTTGTATGAGTTTTGACCTGAAGACAAGTAAATCCCGTTATATTATTAAAACGAAATTGACTCCATAGTTTAATGCCTTAGTTTCTTGAATACGATTATTTTAAGCACTCGAAAATTTATACCAGCAATTTTACCCATGGGGTGATTTCCTGAGAGCTGATAATATCACGAATTTCTCATAGAGCCCTTCAAAAATGGCTTGCTTTTTGGGCAGCCGATTCGGCCATCAAACCGGGGTTTAAATGGAAGCTGATAATAACACAAAGCTCTGAGAAAAATTTTGAGACGAGTATAGGAACGGTTTGTAAATTACGAGGAGAGGCGGGCATTCTGTTCAGCATATCGATACATAAGTATTTTCACACGTAGACTTTAATTTTCACGTCAGGGAGTCGACATATTTTGATTTTTTCGATTTTATACGGAA